TTTTTGGTATAGTAGTTGTGACTTATTCACACTATATACATTTGGCTTCCGCAACACAAACAAAGGGGTGTCTTTCACTCAACCAAAGCTAATTGAAATCCATTTCACATTCCGCACTAGAATAAACAATTCGATTAATGCATCAATAGTTCATTTAACAAGCATAGTTTTTTAACTTTACGGAGAAACTAACTGCATGTTAACCGATCGAGTATCTCTCTTAAAACTCCAACAAACAATAGAGTTTGGACCAACCACAACATCATACGACAACCAAATAAACACAAAATTGCGCACAACTAATACACTACATGATCACACTCCCTCGAACTTGCTTCTATCAACACCCGATTGAAACTAAAATTCTCAAATCCCATGCTCCTATCACACCATAATAGAATAAAAGAGAGCAAGGAAATGGACTTGAATGCAGAAACATTTTGATTGAATCTGTTTGTAAGCAATTACAAGTTAACTTTCCGATAACTAAACAAAATCCCTTAACTAAACCAACCTTCTTCTAAAGTGATACAAAACATTTATAAAAAAATATAAAATGACTCCTAATTGATTTCAATAAACCATTAAAATAAGACTAAAAATTAAAAGTGAACTATTTTTGGCATTTTTCGAGATTATATTAAAATAGAAGTAGAGAAAAATAATTAAAAATCCTAGTAAAATAATATGACTACAAAAACATTAGTGAAACTATTTTTTTGTGTGTTTTAATGTTTTGAAATTAAAAATAAAATAGACTAAAATTGTATAATAATTCAAGTGAATATTTTAAAAATATTAAAATACTAAACTAATTTTAAAAATTGTGCGGATCAAAAATTACGTACTTACACCATGAATAATAGAGAGTATAAAGATTGTAAGTAGACATCTATACTATATTAAAAGCACGAAGGCCCTTAGCGAAATGTCGTTCCGTCTTTTTTACCCTTTAAAAATAAATTTTATATTGGACAAAATAGTAATTTAAACTACTCTCCTAATATTTAGATTTTGAAATCAATTAAAATTTTACCTTATAGAAATTCTTAATTTCCTTAATTGATCCAACTTGAATTAAAAGAACGAAATTTTTGGTCTTTTTCTCTTTAATTTCAAGCGCCGGCAACTTCTTGTAGCAAGTTGTTTGCCATATTTTTTTTTAGAGTTCAACTATTTTTTTTTTTGGAAACAGGACAATTAAAAAAATAAACAAGGGTAAGAAAAAGAAGTACAAAGACGAGAGCAAACACGGGGGATTCCAGAGCCACAAGCAAACATCAAAGAACAACACTGCTCTGCAGAAACTTAGTCTTGGGGCTTTTCTCACTTTGAGAGTTCAACTATTGTTTTCTCGACATGCCGCTCATATTCTTATTACTAGTATCCGTACCCGCGCGTTGCGCGAAAAATGTAAAATATAACATTTTAAAAGAAAATATTATTTGGAAATACAGTACACGAAAAGAAAACACATTAATACATTCAAGTCATATGGAAATAGACTTCTCCCTTATAAATAGACTTGTCCCTCCCTTTTTCAAATATTGTAAGCACCGCAGGAAAAAAATATATTTTAGTCATTGCTGAACTTTGTCCATAAGCAATCAACCGGGAAAAAAGTCATAATTTAAGTTTTGAATTCAGTTATATTTGACCAGTTTTGCAATCCACTATTAGTCAACATTCCCATATGCCGGCTTTTTATTGTCCACAAGTAATAACAGTGCCTAAATCCCAACTAAACCAAACGTAGTGCTTTAAAAATAATTAGGAAACTTTTGAGGAAACGTGTCATCTTTTCAAGAGAAAGAAATAATAATGTATAAGACTCTAATTCATGGTCATCGACAAAGATTTTTTTTATCAATAACACATGAATTCTTCAGCTTCTTGGTTTCTTTTAAAAACTTAAGTTACCAAGCTATATGATATTAGAGTATTATGGAAGAAATGAAAGGCAACTTTTACTAATTTGCTCAACATATGCTGAGAGAAGGTGGTGTAACAGAACATGTTATGCCCTTTGCAAATAAGTATATTTTAAGAACTATGACATCCTCGTTCTTCAAAGCTAGTCTGACCAATGTTATATGCAGGTCATGTGTCAATAAAGATGTATGCCATAATAATGTATGAAGTTTGAATACCTTGTAAATTAATGTATGGGCTAGCAACTCAATTCTTTCTCATATACATCAAATAATCATAAATTTTTAATCAAACTATAATAGATTGTCATCTTTTACTAAATGTAAGAAAGATTATTGAAAGAAATTACCACTTTAATCAATAAAGTTAAAAATGCTGACGAATTTAATAAACTTTTTGACTCTATTGTAAATTATCTTATTATAAAAGAGAACTTGACAAAAAAAGTTTCAACAGGTTGGGCAATAGCCCTTAAACATGTTTTCCCGAGGAACAATCGGTACTAAATTACCCGATCCTTCATTACTCACATTGCTTTGCATCTCCTCACTTTGTACTTTCTTCTGCATCCCAAAAAATTACAATTAATGGTTAACTTTCTTTGTCCTCAAACTATAAGTTTAAATCGAGTAGAATAATAAAAATTGTGCATTCTTTTGTGAGGTTCAAATCACAGCATTCTGCTTTACCTTTGCGAGTAAACAAAGTTTGACCCACTCTAAGTTTCGATGTATTTTAACATAGTCAGTTTAAGACATTGGAGTAAAATAAATTTAAGATATTCAGTTTTCATGAATATTGACTGCATTGGAACATGAAGATAAAGTGATAAGATATGAGAATCAACTGATTTTTGACATTCAAACTTAACTTGGAATGTGTAAAGGCTCTATTAAATAGAGGATGGAATTTTTTTTTATTTGTAGTTGTATTTGAAACTACAGAGAAAATGCAGAAAAAGAATTTAGAAGGAACCTTATGAAAAGTGTGAATAGAATCTTTCGGATCGACATAACAAAATTTAAAAAATGCAGAAAATAAGAAAACCAGAACACATTGCAATTACTTACTCATTTTCAATAGAATGGTGAAAAATCCAGCTTATAATCTGTTGCAATCCACATAACTGAACAAGCAAGAGAAAGAGAAAAAGAAAAAAGAATTATAACCAAAATAGTAACGACTTTAGAGCTCAGAATATTTATGCTTAACAAATGAAAAAATCAAAGGTTTCGCTTCTGATTACCCGATTCTCTGAAGATTTCCAAAACATGAGATCTTTGTCAATACTCTATGAGAATATGTCGTCTTGTATGACAACTGACTGTATAGTACTGGAGAAAATTATATGAATAGCATCAAATATGGAGATTGAGGAAATGAAATTCAATTATGTGAAAATTCATATTTATACAGACAAAAAAAAAAATTGAAAGTTAGTGATTCCTACTTGGAAAAATCTTCAAGAAGTGTAATATGTTCTGCATCTGCTATGAGAACCAACAGTTTGGTTGCTTCATGTCTAACAGTTGGATGGTTATTGACATCTTTAACAGACCTGAATAGTGCATCTGTAGAATTTTTAGTATGTAATTTCCCAATACATAATCCATTTCATGCTTTAGTAAAGCAATATTTGAACTTACATATTCTTTAATTGGAAAAATTCTTCATGTCCACCATTGTTCTAATATGAAAAAAGAGCAGCATAACACTCATACATGCCCAGTCCTTCACTCAAAAGAACGTAACTCAGGTCTTGGACAGATGAAGAAGCAAAAGGAGCAGCTGGTCTATGGATAGAAAGGGTGACAATACCATTGTTGAGGAACCGCTATCAGTTACTATATTCTTCAACTCTTTGATTTGTCTTAGAGTCAGTTCACTTGTCTGTCAGAATTATTGAGCTGGAATTGTAGCCAAACTGCTTTATGTCAGGGAAATATTAATTTATAAACCAATTACATGAAAAGTAAGAAGAATAATAATAATGAAAAGGAAGTGTAAGACACTTACATTCCGTATGTCATTAATTTTTTCCAGCTGTGAGATCACATTAATAATTCGAGCACTAAATGGAGAAGGCATCATTAACAGAATGGTGACTTTGATCATAATTTTGCTGTTAAAGTAAAAAGAGCATAATCAAATAATAAAGTAGCATAAACCATAACACGTAGCAGTAAGCTATTGAGAAGCAATTCTATTGTATCACATTATCCAGTTGATGAATTACCACATTCAAACCACTTGCGTAACTGACATTGAGTACTTCTTCACCAATGCGATGTAACAACTACTGTTAATCCATGTAATGGAAGTTACTAAACAATCTGTAAGTGCAACATTAATGAAACATTATTTTATATATCTAGAATAGTGTAACAAAAAAAGATTTGAAAATACCGAAAACTAAAGCGTACCTATTCCATGTTTGAGGAATCATCTCAACAGCTAACTTCTCAGTTGGTTCATAAATCTCAGCAAGAAAAGTAGTACTTAAACCTCAAAAAAGATATTAATGATCTTTCGAGTGTCAGACTAAATTTCAAAAAACTTCTTTAAATACTACATTTATTGCTTCAGTAGTTATTTTTCCATTGTCATCATAAACCAAAATTTTTAATCCCTTTCTAGTTTTCACCCGGGAAAGAGTAACATATAGCTGTCCGTGTGTAAACACAGGTTTCTTCAAAATAATCCCACGTGAGACAATAACTGTCCTTGACTTTTGTTTTTTGTCATGGCAAAAGATACAACGATTGGAAATTGTCTTCGTTGGAACTTAAATGGAATTCTAGCATCAGATAGAGTCAATGTCATTCTTGAAATAAATACTTTCTGTCCAGCCATCTGTCCTGATAAAACCTTCGCTTCAATGACTTGATTTCCAAGTTTGGTTATGATCAACCTTGTTCCATTACATAATCCTGCTGTCTGGTCAATATTTCTTAATAACATCACCGGAATACCAACCTTTAGAGTAAGAGCGTGATTTGGAACTCCTGAACATTTAATAGTATTTAAGAATTCTGGTGTGTGTATATGTTCCAATGCTGAATAAGTATGGTCAGAGCTGCAGATTGTATCGGAACTCAAATATGATTTCTCAGAACTTTCATTAAGCGAAATCATATATTCGTTGATTGATTCCACCATATCAAGAGTTGGAGCAAGAATGGCTCTTTGCTGGAGGTATCCTATATCACTGCAACGACTTTTGAAATCGAGATATGTACTTTCTACAATTGCAGATATTAGATTATCAGACTGTTTTATCAAAAGATCATCTGGTATTTGGACCTTTTCATAGCCATCAACAGAAGTACCAACCATACCGTCGCCAATTCCCAAAATCCAATCTGAAAAAACTCTCAACTCATCTAGATGCGTCCCTATTTCATTACCTTACAATCTCATATTCTTTGTTAACTTTAAGAGCTAACAGTGAGGCCACAAATAAGAAGAATTGAGAGATGCATTAACAATACCTTGCCTAGTACCTTTTGGAATGACATGTAATATTTGTCTGAAGTCACCACCAAGAACAATTGTTTTACCTCCAAATGGGCGGTCTAAATTGGATGCATCTTTAAACCTAAGAATATCTCTTAAAGTTTTATCAAGAACTTCAAAACAATATCTATGCATCATGGGTGCCTCATCCCAAATAATCAACTTTGCCTTAACAATTAAATTTGCTAAAGGAGTACCTTGCTTAATATTACATGTTGAATCTTCAGTTAGATTTAGAGGAATCACAAATCTTGAATGAGCTGAACAGAGATGCAATCCCACTAGATGCAACAATTAACATAATATCTCCTCTAGATCTTATGGCAGAAGACAAAGTTCTCCAAACAAAAGTCTTGCCAGTTCCTCCAAAATCATATAAAAAGAAAAATTCACCCTTGTCTTCATTCACAGCTCTTATTATTTTTTCATAAACTGACTTTTGCTCATCTGTCAAATTCTTTACTAATTATTGATGTTCCTTCGCCAAAGCGCGTTTATTATAACACAATTCATCCCGTATTAATCTATTACTGTTGTCAATTTATTCCGTATTATAAACAGGCCTTGGCATTGTTGGAAAATCCTGAAAACTTCTTCCACAACCTTTCAAAAAAACTTCAAGCTTTTGCAAACAATGATTTTTCAATACATGATCTGTTAGCTCAACTTCTATAATAACATAAAAATATAAAATAATTAAATACAATTAAATGTTAAAGTTTAGTTTAGCAATATGAAATTAATAATAAGATTAACGAAACTGTAAAATGTTAACGTACAAAGAATATGAAGTAATAAGATAGTCCAAACCTTGTGCTTTATTTTATTTTAAAAAAAATAGTAAAGTGCAGAATGCATAAGAGCGATTATAGGCTTTCCGGAAACTTAAGGGCATTAAATACAATGTATTAATTGTGTATTAGTATTTATGTCTGGAAAGCGTATCAATCAGTACCAATATTATTCCTATGGTCTAAACACGACACTATAGTAAAAAGACATAAACATAACAAAATATTGTTTACGGAACCTGAAGTCTTGGAATGAATTTTGTATGAACTGGAAAACATATATATAAAGCAATGAACAATCAGATTAATATGAATGAAGTAATTAAAAAGAAAATTAATCAATAAAGTTAAGAAAATCAGCCATCCTTTAGAAGTATCATATCATATTAAAATTGCAAGCATTTTATACGTACCTGGGTGATCCAATATTGTTCTTTCTTCATGAAGGATATCTTCTGATAGTAAATGCCATGTTGCTTGCCAAACTCTTTCTCGCCGTGACATTAAATTTGATAAAAGTAGCATAGCAAATAATTGTCTAAGATATGATGTCATTCCCCAATTACTTGCTTCCATTATAGCATCCACATATTCCTTATCATCATCTAATAAACCCAAAGCATAACATGCATCTCTAAAAGTCTCATGATCACAACCGTTGATTCTTTTGAGTTCGTCATAGCTCTTTGGACCTTTAATGACATTCAACAATAATCTAATGTAATATTGCTCGCCGGATCCAGGTGGAACAAAGAAGATTCTCCCAATAGAAAATGCAGATGTTCTTTTTTCCCATCTTTTCAGGTTTTGTTTCCACACAAACTTTAGAGGAAATTCTGCTAAGTCAATTTTCTTCCTTCAGGAAATGTCTTATTAGCTTCGAACTAGCTTAAAATCATAGATTCCTTAACGGTTGGTCTGTTGACAACTGCATCAATTGGATCATCATCCGAAAATATGACAGTTTGATTATTTGGCAGGTGAAAAGATAGCCTTTCTACCGATGGTTCTCTGTGGTGTATTGGGAATTTAAAAATTCTCCAAGCACCTTCACAAGGTGATATGTATCGGCAATCAAAATACATATTTATTTCATCAACGACCCCTGAGTCTTCCTTATTTACACTTTGAGAAAAAACTGCGGTAACACGAACATTTCCTTTATTAACATACTTAAATAAGTACTTAATAGATCGTGATTGATTACACCACTCCACGTTAATATGTGCACCATACTTCAATAATAAAAATCTATTGTGTGGTACAACATACCTATTATCCAACTCAATACCTACTCTCTTTGCAGTTCTACCATCATCTCTTCTTCTATAAATTGGATACCCATCTTCATCAATTGTGGTTGATGACACAAATTTTTTTGGAAAGTGCTTTGTACATCTACCATTCTGCATGCAAGGAGAAGATTTTCTAGCAGCACCACAAGGGCCATGCATCATGAAATTTGTAACAACATTATAATCATGAGGATCTACTTTTTTATCTGGTAATTCTGCTGAAATTATTCCATCAATATCTGCGACATTTGGGTATTTATTCCGAAGAAAAAGCAAGATGTGTGCATGAGGCAAGCCTCGCTTTTGGAATTCAACTGTATAAATCATTGAAATACAGAATTAATTAGATAATTAAGTTTTTATATTACTTATTTTTAATATTAGTATCTAATAAAATTAATGTAACAATGTAATAATTTTTTAGAACATAAAAAGTATACCTGCTTTTACTTCTCCAAAAACTTTATTGTCACGTAGATCCTTTATCATGAGGAACTAAGGAACAAAGATGGGGAGAAGAAGTTATTCCGACTCGCTAAGGCGAGAAAGAGGACAACTCGGGATCTGGACCAAGTGAGGTGCATAAAAGATGATGACGGTAAAGTTTTGATGGGAGATGACCAGATTAAGAGGAGGTGGCAGACCTACTTTTATAAACTTCTAAGTGAAGAAGGGGATCAGGATATTATACTTAAGGAATTGAGGAATGCCGACAGTCACCATGAATTAAGTAATTGTAGGGACATTGAGATTGACGAAGTCATGGAGGCAATGCGTAAGATGAGAAGGGGCAGAGCTACCGGGCCAGACGAAATTCCGGTTGAACTGTGGAGGTGTGTGGGTAGAGCAGGCTTGGAATGGCTTACTGCATTGTTTAGTGTTATATTCAAGACTAATAGGATGCCTGAAGAGTGGAGGTGGAGTACAATGGTCCCGTTGTATAAGAACAAAGGTGATGTCCAGAGCTGTAACAACTATAGGGGCATCAAATTACTAAGTCATACCATGAAAGTTTGGGAGAGAGTGGTAGAGATGAGAGTGCGAAGGACGGTGTCTATTTCAGACAACCAGTTCGGGTTCATGCCGGGGCGATCTACCACAGAAGCTATCCACCTTATTAGGAGGATGGTGGAACAGTACAGGGATAGGAAGAAGGATCTCCACATGGTGTTTATTGATCTGGAGAAAGCGTACGATAAGGTTCCTAGGAAGGTCTTATGGAGCTGCTTAGAGGATAAAGGGGTCCCGAGTAACTATATTAGGGTGATTAAAGACATGTATGATGGAGCTAAGACTCGGGTTAGGACAGTAGGAGGCGACTCTGAACACTTTCCAGTTATTACGGGGTTGCACCAAGGGTCTGCGCTCAGCCCATTCCTATTTGCCCTGGTGATGGATGAACTGACTCATCATATTCAAGGGGAGGTACCATGGTGCATGCTATTTGCTGATGACATTATTCTAATTGACGAGACACGAGGCGACGTCAACGAGAGGCTAGATATTTGGAGACATGCTCTTGAGTCTAAAGGTTTCAAGTTGAGCAGGACGAAGACGGAATACCTCGAGTGCAAATTTNGGTCGTTGTTGTTGTTGTTGTTGTTGTAGATCCTTTATCATGCGATCCAGCTTGATTTTGAAAACCCTTGTTAAAATGTCGGGACGATCTTCTGGAGATAATCCCCTACTCTCTACAAATATAATAATCTTTGACCATTTTGGGTTGCAGGTAATTGTGATGAACAGATCAGGGTACCCGACCCATTTGCAAATTGCCATGGCATCTTGATAATTTTGCAACATGTAACGTGCACCCCCTGTAAAGCTGGAAGAGAGTATAACTCTTTGTCCTTGAGAAGAAGGTTCTATGTTTCCATGTAAAACAGCATCTTGTAACCCTTTATAAAAGTGTGCTCTCAACTGTTTTTGATGAAGCCTAATGAACCTCAATCGAGAAGATTCCATCATTGTATAACCATCTACTAAGAATTGCTGAAATAATCTTCTAGCTGACACAATTGTTGGAACTTTATCCTTCCTTTCTTGAATTTTATATGATAAGTACTCACGCGTGCTAACGCATTTCCTTCCACCGGTCGAATCATCAATATCATTTAAAGGAATATCTTCTCGGTATCCGTTTTCACCATATGAAAATAATAATGGATATTGCAAACCTAAGTATGATGCATTTAATTCATTTATCCTTTGTAGTTGTCCAGATTGGCTTTCAACTATGATATCTCTGTC